GCTTTGAATTTTGTTGCTCATATGGCATATGCAATCAGTGTAATATCTGTATACATAACTGCTGCTGTTTGAACTTGAGATGTTTGGGTAAATTTATTTTTGTTTATAGCTGTTGGGTGATGAAAAACAGAAAATACTTGTTTATTAAGAACTGTGTAAATACATCAAAACCTGCCCTGGGCTACTGCTTAGATCCAGCAGGTGAAAAGGCTGCAGATCCTCCTCTGTGCCTGATTGCAGCACTAGGCTCTGATGGGGTTTTGAGGTGGGATAGAGCTGAGGTGCAAATTATCAGCATTCCTGGCTTGATATGGTTTTGGTCTTAATACTTAAATGGGGCAAAAACCTTTGCAGCTGTGGATAGTTGGTTTTTTGTTCTGTTTTGTTTCTCATCCAGCTTGTTACTGAGTAGAAAACTGGCTGGATGGCTGAGCCCAGAGAGAGGTGGTGAATGCGGTTGCATCCAGCTGGCAGCTGGTCCCAAGTGGTGTTCCCAGGGGCTCAGTTTTGGGGACACTGCTGTTTAATGTCTTTAGCAGTGATCTGGAGAGGGGATCAAGGGCACCCTCAGTCAGGTGGATCACATCAAGTGGAGTGGGAATGTTTCATCTGCTGGATGCCAGGAAGGCTCTGCAGAGGGATCTGGACAGGCTGGATCTGATCCTCTGTATGAGGCTCAGCAAGGCAAAGTTGGGTCCTGCACTTGGATCACAGCAGCCCAGGCAGCATTGCAGGCTGGGGGCAGAGTGGCTGGGAAGCTGCCTGGTGGAAAAGGACCTGGGTGTGCTGGTCAACAGCAGCTGAGCATCAGCATGGGAAAGGCAGCCCACTTCCCTTTTCAGGTGTCTCCATGGGAGCAGGAACTTGTTTGTACAAGGTTGGGTGAGAGGAGGAGAAGTGAAAGTGCCTGGTTTCTGTGCTTTTGGTTTGAGTGCCTCTCACCAGTCTTCTGGTCGAATTAGAATTAATAAGTGAAGAATATTGAAAACTTTTATTGCACTGTCTTGCCCAAAGAGAGAAACACTGAGGTTCTGGAGCATGTCCTGAGAAGGGCAATGGAACTGATGAGGGGTCTGGAGTACAAGTCTGATGAGGATAGGCTGAGGGAGCTGGGGGTGCTTAATCTGGAGCAGAAGAGACTCAGGGGGACCTTCTCATCCTACAGCCAGTCTCCTCTCTCATGTGAAAAGCAGTAGGATGAGAGGAAGCATCAAGTTGCATCAGGTGAAAATTAGGTTGGGATGAGGAAAAATTTCTTCACTAAAAGGGTGATGAAGCACTGGAACAGGCTGCCTGGGGAAGTGGTGGAGTCACCACCCCTGGAAGTGTTTGAAAAACATGGAGATGTGTCAGTTAGGGAAATGCTTTAGTGGTGGACTTGGCAATGTTGAACTCTATGATCTTAGAGGTCTTTTCCAACCATAATAATTCTATGGATCTGTGAAAACTAAAACAAGTCCTGCTGTCCTTCAGCTGCATTCCCACTGATGGATCACCTCTCCAGGTGGAATCAAAGCCCTGCTTCAATTTATCCCTCCTGACCTCTTGTTCTGTCCAGAGGGACCATGTGTGGGATCTCATGATGGAGTGAAGCAGAGCAGTGACACAAATTAAATAAAACCCCACAAAACTGATCCTGTGTGTGAGGCTGGTAGGAACCGCCCATGGAGACTGGTTGGGATGCCAGCTGCATAAACTGCCTTGGGGAAAAACAGCTGTGAAACCAAATTTTCTGCCCTGCTGCCAGCCTTGGACTCTACTCCTGCTTCATCTCATGACAGGACAAGTCTCTGTGCTGTAGTGTTTGTGATTTAAATGAGTGTGGTGAGGGGTGGCTGAGGCATGGACAGGCATCTCATCTCCTTCCCTCACTGCAGGGTCCTATCTCCTTCAGACAATGGGATAGGCAGCTGCATCCTGAACACTTGAAACCACTGCAGGGATGTGAGGCAGAGCCTTGTACCTACAAACACAAGAAAACAGAGGGGAAGAAAAAGCCCAAACCCACACCAAAAATCCAAGAAAACAAAAACAAATAGAGAAGTTGTGCTCTGTGTTTGTTTTGGGTTTTTTTCAAGCATATCATGCAATGTGCTGTCTTGCTGAGATGCACATTCCCCAGCTGTGGTAAGTGGGGTAGAGGGTGAGACGCATCCTCTCTGGGGAGAGGGGGGAGCGTGTTGTGAGCCTGAGTCAGCAGCAAAGGTCACTTGGCTGCAAGGCTTGGCCTGCAGGAGGAGAGGATTTCGTGACGTGGCCAGGGCAGTGTTTGTGTGTCCAGCACTGGCAGTGTGTGCACTCAGAGGGAGGAGCACCGGCTGGGGTCACAGGGTGACATGGGCAGCTCCACCTGCCCACTCCGCCTCACAAAACACTGCTCACTCTTCCTTGCTGCCTCCTGTGCTTTCTCCCTTCCCATGCCCTGACTTCTCGTATCTCTTCACTTCTGGCATGTAATCTCATCATTGCATGATTTGTTTTATGGTCTTGGCTCATCTTTTAGTTCCTTTTGGGGTCATTATCACATATGATTAGTCCTAGAGCCTAATGAAGGGGATCAGACATAACTCTAGGGTATGTCTGAGCCATTTAGCATCTCTGACCTCAAAGATCTGCAGAGAAAGTTTATTTTTAAGCTTCCTAAGAAGATAAAGTTGAATTTTGGATTGTTTAGGGTGCAAGTAATGGAGCTGAAATCTCTCTGGGTGGAGCATGCCCTCTGGGGTGTGCAGGATCCCAGGAATAATTATGCTGTGCTGCGTGAGTATCATTAGTCTTGAAATAGACTTTTGGTGGATGATCACGTTTTTCTACATGGCAGAAGCTACTGTGAAACCTTGAAACCTTATGTTAGCTTTTAGTCCTCATTTAAGAGCACTGTCAATGTGTGTTTAATACTGCTTTTGTTATCCAGTCCCACTCTGGGAAAGCCAGTCCTGAAGATATGGAACAATTGTAGCAAAGTAAGAACCCCAGAAAATAAAAAAGGGCACATTTTTGGGGGCTGTTTTTTAAGGTCCCACTCTTTCACTCTACTAAGAGAGGAAGGATCTGCAAGGACTTGTGTGTTGGAGCAAGGTGAAGTCAGAGCATCCTCAGGACAGCTCCAGCTGCTGCTGTTTGGTGGCACTGTGCTGCACTGTGTCCCTGACCCGGGCGAAGTGACACGTCTGTGCAGTGACTCAGCTGTGTTCCTACTAACCATCTGCTGATGTGATGCAGCTCATTAGTCACTAATTGGTGTGGTTACCCTTTTTTTAGGCTGTTGGAAAGGCCAAGGGCCACATAGATGTGAAGCAGCTGAGTCAGTCTTCTACCTCTTTTGCCCTCAGGTCCAGCAGACTCTTGGTGGTGGTTGGAGAGCTGTTTCAATGTTCTCTGTCAGGCAGAAACAGACTGTCTCAGCTTTATCTTGTACTCTGATTGTTTGATTATAAGCCTCTCACAGCTGTTTGGTGGGACTGGAGTCTGTAGCTGGAGCCTTCTGGTGTGTGTCACAGTGAACCCTCCAAAGGAAGGGCATTGGAGGCAGTGGGAGATAGCACCCTGATTTTGGACTGACCATAAGAAGCTGGTTTCTCCCAGCTTGCATTTCCTCCCTTCATCAGCTCTGTAGAAATCCTCTAAGCAATCTGGGGATTTACTGTGGATAGCACTTCTGTAATACATTCCCCCCCCATTCCCCACCTATCTGCCCAGTACTTCTGCTACACTTACCATCCTTGACTCCATCACCTCATTCTTTACCTGATCTATAGGTACTGGTGGGTTAGGTACTGATGTTTTGCCTTACATGGTATCTGCACTGATGATGTATAAATCTATTTTCTGATATCTTGAGGGCAGGTCTTTGATGCTGTGTGTAATATCTAGATCCTCCTGGACATAGCTGGATTTGGACACTGTCCTTTGCTTTCTTGTCTCTGGGTTTTTCTCTCTGCCTAAAGTCTCCACCTGAATCTCTTCTGGCTGTTGTTTCTTTCCTGGGAGGTTACAGACCCCTTTTCTGGGCCCTGTGTTGGCAGCACCCTTGGTAGCCCTGGAGATGGAGGTGTGGATGCTCATCCTCATGACTTGCTCAGCTGCAGTAAATGCATTTGTCAGCAGCTCAGCTCTGCATTTGTCTCTTTGGTTCTTCCCATGCTGTGAGTGGCATAGGAAGCCACGTGGATCTTCCCCCATGCAACGCTGCCCATCTCCTGTGACGTTGCTCAAATATCAGTCACTGCATCCTGCCAAGGAGCTTGGATTTGGGGCATGGAGTGTGCTGGATAATTCCTAAGCTCCTCTCTGATCACTTCCCATTTGAGCAATCTAAAGATTCCTCACAAAACTTAAAAAAAATTATCAGAGTAGTAATATTCCTAATAGCATCTATTTCTTTTCTTCTAAAAACCTCTCATAGTCAGATAAACTGTTACCCCACTTCTCACTCTGCTTTTAGGACATTCTTTCTGTTTTTAAGGCAAGCAGTGATGCTCTTGTTTTAAAATGAAGTCCCCTACCTCTTCTGCCCTCATGTGTGCCCAAGCCCTGCTCTGTTTGCACCCAGTGTGCTCCTGGAGTTGCTCATGGTGGTGTTTGGGATATTTCCCTCACAGGAGTCAGTTACATGATCCCCTCAGACAATGTGATAAAGTCCATGCTGTCCTTTGGGGCTGATGTAGTTAAAAGCAAAACATTTGGGAGCATCTAGGAATCAGTGTCTCAGGTCTGTGGAGCACTGCTTGGAAAGCTGACACCAGCATCCCTAACTTGTGGGCAGCCAGGTGAGATCATATGAGAACCAGAATGGGGCCAAGGTTTCACAGCAGCTGACTCTGACTACGTGGATGCCCCGGCTCAGAGTGAAAAATGTTCTTCCCGCTTATCAAGGATCCCTGTGCGTGCCAAGAGACCTTTGTTCTGAATATTTGGAGTAATAAAGTTCAGCTGGGATAAAAGGGCATGTCCCCACTGGCTTGGTTCACACAGTGTTGTGCTCTCTGTCTCTCTTGCAGCTGCGTAAATGAGTATGGAAGATTATGATTTCCTCTTCAAAATTGTTTTAATCGGCAACGCCGGGGTGGGGAAGACCTGCTTAGTCCGTCGCTTCACTCAGGTAAGGCTGGCTGCCTCTTGGACTGTGGAATGCTGGGATGGGGACAGCACTGGCAGGGGAGCATGGAGCCTGGGGCTCTGCACTGAGGGCTCTGCCAGCATCACAGCTCCAAAGCATTTTCTTGCTCACACCCTTGGTGCATGCATCACATACAGTGGCACACTGGTACAAGCAGTGCATCTGTATCTAATGCTGCACCTGGCCCTGTTCTGGAGTTTGTGTTGGAGGAACCTCATTCCTCTCTGAAGGTGGAAAGTCCCCTCTGAAAGCCACTGGGACATCTCCTCCTGTTTTGGTGGTGGTCTGGACCAGTTATAAGAACAAGTTTCCTGGTCTCCTCCTCAAGCTTTGCTGCACAAAGTGCTCCCTCTTATTTGTCATTAGTAAAGAAATAATCTGGGTCCTGAGCTGTCAGTCCAGTGTCCTTTTTTGTGATCCAGGGCAAGGGAAGACTTTGCATGATGCATAATAAAGCACAAGCTGTGGGGTTTTGGACTCTCCACTAGGAATTGTCAGCAATTTTACCCTTCACTGTTAATTTTAGTTTTGAAGCTATAGTGATTTTAGATGCTCTCCAAAAACATGTGGCAACCAGTGGCAATAAAGTTAGTCATACCCAAAAGGTTTACAGCAAAAATCTCTGGCAACTTCTGCTTGTTCTTTGGCAGCACAGCTGCTGTAGGGGATGGATGTGCCCCAAAACCAACATGACTTGGTAGACTAGAAATCCAAAAGCTCTTATTTCATTTACTGCTGCTCCTTTCTGATGGTGCTGCAATCAAACACCACCAGCATTCTGCTGTCCCTTGCCATTGCTGTGGCACTGGTGATGGCTTGCACTACTGTGCTTCCCTCCTGAAATGTGCCCCCATTGCTGAGAGCTGCCAGAAATTCCTGTTGGTGCCACAGGGTGCTGTGGAGGGAAAAGAGAAGGCATGAGGTTGCAAATGCATCTCATCCCACACAGATGTTCACACATCTTTCAATGCATTGGGAAGTAGGGTGGAAGGTCCTCACACTTTCCCTGCTTCTTCCAACCGTACAGAAGGGCTTTCCCCCTCTCTTTTTCCCGCCTTTTCTTTTCCTGTGCTCCTACTTCTGAAGTTGATGACTTGCAGCATAATTAGGGATGTATAAGGCAGGGAAAACAGAGTTTGAATGTATGGTAACCTTTGTGCTGGGGAAATGTCACACTCTAAATGTGATGGAAATAAGTGTCATGGGAAGGGGACATCGGATGAATGGTTTTGAAGATGGAAAAGGGTGAGGATTGGCACCCAGTGAGACTTTTGTCTTGTTCTAGAAATAAATTTAATCAAACTCTTGTTTTCTTCCAGGGGCTTTTCCCACCAGGGCAAGGAGCCACGATTGGGGTTGACTTTATGATTAAAACTGTGGAGATAAACGGTGAAAAAGTAAAGGTAGGAGCCTGATGTTTTAAGATGTAAATTCATGTGGCTGTACCATAGGTGAGGTTTCTTGCTGCAGCCCTTCCTCTGCTGGAAGACACTCAAGGTTGTCTGGCATGGCTTGGGCAATGCAGGGTCTAACAATCTGTGTGCCCCTCTCCACCATTACTATCAGGATTGTAAAAGTGAACCTGCTGGAGAAGAGAAAATGGAGCAGGGAGACGTTGCAAAACTTCTGTCCTTGCTTAGGGGACAGTGATGTCATGCCTAGCTTGAGGAAGCCCAGAGAGGCATTTCAGCGCAGCCTCTGCTCGCTGTGTTTCTGACGAGCAGAAATTTGTTGCAGAAATTCCCACTGGGATGTGCTTGAGCAAAGTCTTCTCCTGTGAGCTCCCCAAGATGGCCACTGGGGAGAACAGACATCTGAAGTTGTGTGGTTCTGCACATCAAAGGCTCATCTTCCACTTCTGCCAAGTTACGGATTTGGGAGAAGCCGAGCCAATCACAGTACTTGTGTTGCAGCAAACAGGTTGACTGCAAAGGGCAAAGTTCTCCATATTTTTAACTCTTTCACCCTCTAAAATAGCATGGAAGTCACTTCTGGGAAACTGTCCTTGTCCTAAGCTGACTCCCAAACTGAGCCTGAGCATCACTTGGCAGTGAGCTACTTTGCCTGGGCCAAAACACACAAAGCATGGGATTGGAGACCCATCTCATGCTTTAATGGGGTCCATGGTTGGGTTCCAGAGCCCAGAAATGTTGGCTGCTACCACGTTGTTCATTAGTAGAGGTTTCACTTGAGCTGCTATGGTATTTGAGATGAGAAAAAAGTACTTGTTTGAGCCTCTAAGGTCAAGGTGTCCATGGTCCCTGAGCTGCTCCTGGATTTACTCTGCCTGCAGGAAATTCAGGGGCATCAAAGTGAAAACAAGTGGTTTTTCTCTTGCTGTCTTTATCAAACCCAAGAGTGGCACCAGTGTGGCAGTGGCTGGGTGTGACACTTAGACCTGTTTTTAAGCTCGTGTAAGTGATGGCATGGAAATAGTGGACTTGGGCAGATTTTCAGCCCTGGGTTTTTTTTAACCTGTACCACAGCACCACAGAGGGGTTTAAGAAGAAAATGGGGTGCTGTGTTGCTAAGTTTAGGACATATTTTGAGAGCTGCGGTCATGCCAACAAAGCTGCAACTGCTGCATGAGGAGCTTACAAACCTATGGGAAGTGGTGGTGCTTCTCCAGGAGACCTTCCCACCTGAGGAGGTGAAGGAAAAGGGGTGGAAAATCCTTCACCTGATCAAGGCCAAGTTTATACTTAGCGTGTGGCTGTGCCAGTGGGCCAGAGCAGCAGCAGGGAAGCAGAGAGCATCGCGTGTAGCCCAGGTGGTGCTGGTGCTCATGAATGCTGCTTGTCCCAAGCTTCTCAGACAGCAGAGATGTTTCTCTCAGCCAAAAGCAGCTCCAGTGAAGCAACTCAGAGGATCTGAGGTGGTAAATGGTGTGATCACTGTACTGGAGGTGGAATTTGTTCTGTCTTGTATACATAGTTTAAATCAGTGGCCTCAAGGCTGTCCTGGTCAGTAGAGGGAGAAAAGCAGTCACGGGGGACATGAATCCCATCCACTTCAGATACCTCTCCTTTTGAAGCATCTGGTTCTCTGTCAAATTCTGCTGGAGCTTTAGAACATCACTTGTATTCGAGCTCTGGGGCTTGTACTGGTGAACTTACCCTCAGGATTTGTCTGTGTTTGAGGTGTTGCTCCTGTCACATAATCCTGTTTTAAGATTAATTTGGACTGAAGGTGCAAAGTTCTTAAGAGAATATTGGAAGCAGTTGTGCCAGTATGAGCTGTCTCAGGGGCAAGGATGGTTCAGGGGAGCTCTACAAGCTAAATGAAAAGTCTCTGCTGCCTTGCAAATGTCTGATGAATGCACAAGTGTCCTCTCTGCATCACCTTGGGGCAGGATTGTGTGTCACAGGGCCTTAGCAAGTGCTAGCTGGGATATCTGCTGTATTTCACATGGCCAATGCTGGGTTCTAAGATCCCTCTCCTGCCCCCACCAGTGCAGTAAGTTGGAGTTGCTGGAGCTGTTTCAGTGACAAAGCTTTGGTGGGAGCTTAGTGTGATACATTTGGGCACTGGAATGAGCCCTCTGGTGTTTGGAAGGCAGATTTCTTTCAGTGGTCTTGTAGCTGAAACTTCTTGAGTAAGCAGTGCTTGTGAGAATGAACATTTAATGAGAGGGGAAAGCAGGAATGAGTCAGAGAACAGAGCTGCTCTGGCTGTTAGCCATTTAGAAGTGCCCAAGCCATGACTCTCTTGCCTCTGTGCTGGGCAGCCTCCCCTGCATGTCTGCTGGGATCCAGAATGAGGGAGCAGAGCTGTTTACCAAAAGAGTTTTGAGACTTGAAAATAAATTATGGATTTCTGGGGAAAAATACTTTCCAGCTTTCAAAAGAGCATTATAAAGTCAGTGAAGAGGGACTAGCTAGTATGAAAGCTGTGTGCAAGCTTTTCCAGATATGAGCAGCTACCAAAGCTCACTGCCCAGTGAGCTGGGAGAGCACTGTGCAGTTGTGGGGGGATTTTGATCTGCCTGGCTTCTTCCAATAAACTCCAAAAATAGTGCAGCACTTGTAGCAAGAGGGCCCACAAATTGAAGCAAAGCAGGTAGCACTTACCCTGCTGGTCAAAGCTAAGCATCCTCAGTGCTGTGAGCAGAGGGCTGTGCTGTCAGGGCTTAGTGGAAAGCTAAATGTGTGTGCAAATGTTGGGAGGGCACGAAGTATCAGCTGACACCAAGAAAATAAACATCTGTGTTTTCTGCAAGCTGAGTCAGACATTGTCCTTTGGTTACTCTGGGGGGAAAAAAATTGTACAAATAAAAGAGTTGCTTTGAAATATTTTATTTGACAGAAATGACCAATGAGGGAAAGTGTGAGACATGCATTTGGGGTGCAGGAAGAGTTTATCAGTGGCTGTAAGACTGGGGCTCTTCCCTGCCTTCTGCACCCAGCTCACAGGTAGACTCGTGTCTGCTCTCCCCAGGTCCCACAATCTCTTCTGCTTTAAGTGTTCATTAGATTAAAGCAGTGGAAGAACATATTCACATCAAGTTTTTATCAATTTAGAGATCTCCTCAATAAAGGCAGAATATATATAAGCTGGAGTTAGCCAGCAGACAGTGATTAAATGTTTTTCCTGGGCAACAGCTGAATAACAACAGAATTACCTGTATCTTTCCATCTGCCAGAGTTTGGTTTGTTTTAACAATGACTCATTCATTATCTGGTTTTCATGTGCAAGTAATTTCACTTATGGTTTTGTGTGTTACTTTACAGATACCAGGTTCAGCCATTTAAGTACAGCTATGCCTAGAGATAAAAGCACAAAGGTGCCCAGGAGCTGTGAGCCAGCCACAATTACTTTCTCTGCAAAAAAGTGTTGGTTTTGTTGTTTTTTTGTTTTTTTTTTTTCCAAAATTATACCCCACATCTAAAAGCTGCTACTGGGAGCTCTCATTTCAAACTAACATGTTTATGATGAGTTGCTGGCATAGCTCAGCTTTGGAACTGGGCAAGAATAAGGTTTTCTCTTTATAGGCTGCTGAATATATGGAAAAAATCTCAAATACTTTACCTTTTTCTTCCCAGAATACACAGGATTTTGGCTGGAAATCATCCTTCCACATATTTAATTCCAGGGAGAGATGCTTTAAAAAAATAAAAGCTGAAGCAGAGAAATATTCTTTTATCTTGAAATTATGTTAATCATGGATGTTTTTCTTAGACTTCCTTTTTGAAGAATTGAGGTTTTGATGACCCAGTAAAAACTATCAGATGGTCAAAATATAAAATCCGTTTAAGTGTAGTTTCTATTGGGAAATGTAGGCTTTGTGGCTTCAGAGGGTTTGGCAAACATTCATGAGTTGTTTGGTGGTGAGACACAGGAACAGGCTGTCCAGAGAAGCTGTGGATGCCCCATCCATGGAAGTGTTCAAGGCCAGGCTGAATAGGGCTTTGAGCAGCCTGGTCTGATGGAAGGTATCCCTGCTCATGGCAGGGGGGATGGAGCTGGGTGGTCCCTTCCAACTCAAACCATTTTGGGATTCTGTGATGTAGCCAATTTTGCATGTTGGGAAGGCAAACAGTGAGCAGCTGGATGAGATGGCTGAAGCTGTAGAGAGGAAATGTGTTCCAAACTTTAGATAAGCTTTCAGCTGAGCTCCTTGTTCAATCCTGTGTTTTTCACCCATCAGTGCATTGTCTCTGGATAACTGCAACCAGCTCCATGAGCTAGAGGAGAGGCATTGTTATTCCTTCTTGGGAATGGAAGCTGCTGTTGTTAAACTTCAGGGGTGGGAGAAGTTACTGTCTCCCTCTAGCCCCTCCAGGCTGGCAGCTCTGCCCACTGCAGAGGGAGTTGCATGGAAGCTGACAGACCTGTGGCTTCCAGGGCTGTTGGCTGTGACAGTGGTCACAGGAGTTTTCAGGTGAGGGAAGAGACGAAAATGTTGACTCCATGTTCAGAAGGCTTGATTTATTATTTTATGATATATATATTACATTATAACTATACTAAAAAGAATAGAAGGAAAGGTTTCATGTCAGAAGGCTAGCTAAGCTAAGAATAGAAGGGAAAAGAATGAAAACAAAGGTCTGTGGCTCGGACAGAGAGAGAGAGCCAGCTCTGCCGTGACTGGTCACTAAATCCAAACATCCACATGAGACCAATCACAGATGCACCTGTTGCATTCCACAGCAGCAGATAACCATTGTTTGCATTTTGTTTCTGAGGCCTCAGCTTCTCAGAAGGGAAAAAATCCTAAGGAAAGGATTTTCACAAAAAGATGTCTACGACAGTCGACAGTCGGCCGCAGTGCCAGCTGACTTTGTGCCTTGCATTTCAATCCACAAGTGCAGGAACACAAACAAACAATGCTGGGGGAGGGGAAGCCAAAGGGAGAAGAGCAAAGTGCTTTCCCAGCATTGGTTTTACCCTGAAGGTAATTTTTTAGGTCAAAAAGATGCCGCTATCAAATAAAAAAAAATTAAATAACTTTTTTTTTTCTCTCCTTTTTTCACCCTTCCTTGCTGTGGCCAAAGCTGCAGATCTGGGACACGGCAGGCCAGGAGCGGTTCCGGTCCATCACGCAGAGCTACTACCGCAGCGCCAACGCGCTGATCCTGACCTATGACATCACCTGCGAGGAGTCCTTCCGCTGCCTGCCCGAGTGGCTGCGCGAGATCGAGCAGTACGCCAGCAACAAGGTCATCACCGTGCTCGTGGGTAAGCCACCACCACCACCACCACCCCGGGGCTGCGTCGGGGGAGAGCTGTGCCTGCCTGCAGCCTGTGCTCGCACCATTCCTTCTGCACATGGGATGCTCCAAGTGGTGTTCAGGGTGCCACCCCTTGAAGCGCGGTCCTGGGTGGGGTCTAGGGCTGTTGCGTGCGGAGAGGGATGCTTCCCACCATGGGGACTGAAGCGTAGATGGTGCAGCTACCACTGAGCTAAGGATGGAGCAGTTCTCCTTGTGACTCCAAGCCCAGATCTCCACAAATAAGTAAGGACCTACTTGAGCTGGTGATGTGTAAGATCAAAAAAAAGAGGGTGTTCCCTTCTTGCCAGGGGACTTGTATACCCAAGGGAATGGGGGCAGGAGAAGAGGACCACAGGTATCCTATTGGGGGCAGGGGAAGAGGATCTCAATGGTATTCTATTGAATAGAGGATACCTTAATGGTATCCTCTATTCAATAGGATACATTGAGGAGTTGAGGGGAGGGGTAACCAAGGGGGTATGAGGCACAGGGGTGGATGAGGGAGAGACCATGTGATGGGAGAAGGGAAATAACAATCTATGTGACATAACATACTCAGTGCAAATTTCAAATCACCCAGTGCAAAAGAACAACTAAATAAACTATTTAGTGCAATGCAACAGTGATGCTACACTCCATTGGTGTGGGAAAATCAATCCTGTCTCAAGTGGTCAGGATCTGGGAACAGCATCAGGACATGGCAGTTCTGTGGATGACAGCATTCATAGGTGGGGCAGTGCTGCTGGAAAACTGGATGTTCTTGCGTGGATTTTAGGGAGACTAAAAATAAACAACGGAATGTTATATTAATCTGTAGAGCTTCAACTCAAGGCAAAACAGACCTCAGGCCATCTGTCTGCTACAGGCAAGGGGAAGGTTATTTTGCCTACCAGTGCTTTTCCATGCTCTGCTTGCAGCATCTGATAGCTGGGACTTGGCTTTTAAAGGTCCAAGAATATATAAAGAACAGTGGAAAAATAACTTGGGGAAAGCTAAGAAGTTTCATGCTACAGTGTCACCTTTAATAGTTTGCTATTTAAATGAAAAAATCTAGGTCATTGTAAGAGGTGTCTAAAAGTGTATTTTAAAGGAAAAAAAAAATCTTTTGAGTTTAACATGCCCCAGTGCTAATTCAAGTGAGCTATGGGGTTTATAGAGCTTTCATACAAGAAACTCATACTCCATGAGTATGGCCTGGGTACAAATGGTGCAGAAATATATAATAGATGACTAACAAATGTACATTAATTTTTTTCAGTGAACATTAAGTTAATTGATAGCATCTACAGCACAGCATATAAATCATATTGTAGTCATAACACACCCTTTGAAGATGGTGACACCCATAAATCACTTGTGTTGAGTAATAATCTGCTCAGAAGGGTAACTTCAGTGCAGGTAGTGGGTCCAAGACACTGCTGTATTGGGAAAGGAGATCTCAGAGGGGAAGGCAATGAGAGAAGGCTTGCTGGTGGAAACACCACCTCTTCCTCCTATGAGCTCTCACAAAATTGCTGGTAGAAGTGGGGCCGGGAGAGGTTTCCTCCTGAGCCTGGTGAGTCTGTGGACAGAGCAGTCTGTTATTGAAGGTCCTGGTCTGTTATCATTGTTGTAAGATTGATTTACGGCAGAAACATCATGTTTGAAGTTAAGTGGCCAGAAATAGTGTATAATCATATCAGATGCTGGCTTGAGGCTTTAATCAACTCTCTGCCAGACAGATCCCTCTGAACCAAAGGGTTTGTTTCTCACCCCACCTCACTCTGCAAGTGACCCACAAGCCCATCCCTCTTCCAGCCTCCACAGCCAAGTCCTATACTGGAATATTGAAATGGGGAACCTTCCTTCCATGCCAGGCTTTTTAAAAGCTTGTAACAACATGATGAATATCACATTTAGTGTCTCCTATGCTATAATTGACATTTTAAGTGCTCCTCAGAGCAAGCACAGGAGAATTTTCAATAGATGTTAGCATGGAAATCCTTTAATGTTGGTTGATAGCGGCAAACAGATGCACTGGTGCTAAATTAAAGCATACTGGCTTGGATGTTTACAGGGCATATTTCATTACATGAGCTGATATTAAATGGACTTGAGTGTTTCAGGGAACCCATTATTTGGAGGAGAGAGCAAGCACTAGGAGTTACATATCCAAGCTACTCTCCATACATACATCAAACCAAACTCCTATTTATCCTTCATAGACCTCAGTTTCTCTTGGTTTTGAAATTAACTCCTTTTCTAAAATATTTTATCAATGCAGGTAATAAGATTGATTTAGCTGATAAGAGGGAAGTCTCCCAGCAAAGAGCTGCAGAGTTTTCTGAAGCACAGGACATGTACTATCTGGAAACGTCAGCGAAAGAATCGGATAATGTAGAGAAACTCTTCCTGGACTTGGCCTGCCGGCTGATCAGCGAGGCACGACAGAACACCCTTGTGAACAATGTCTCATCCCCCTTACCAGGAGAGGGGAAAAGTATCAGCTACTTGACTTGCTGTAATTTTAATTAAAAAGAGCTGGCATGTGATTGCCCCTTCTGCCATGGGCCAAGTGGATTTTTTTTTTCCTATGCTGGGATTTATCTACTTGAAGGAGTTCCTGCCAATCAGACCCATCTGGCTTACTCAGAGTCAGGTTACAGTCCTGGAAGCATGGCAGGCTGATGGTTCCAGCTGCATGGCAATGTAGCAGAATACAACAGGGTTTAAATTTCATTTTTCTTGCAGTCTGTGGAGCAGATCAGAAAAGGAAGAGTTGCACAAGTGCTTCATGTAATGCAGAACATGAGCTGCTTTGTTTCCTTCTGTGCGAGAGTAGACCAGCCTTTCTTGAAGATACTGAAGAGATCAAAATCTCTCTTACAGAATAATGTGTTTGACCCTTTTTAAAGTAAAACAAAGTAAGAAGAAACGCAACAATGAACACTGACTTTGGACTACCCTGGCAATCTTCTGGGCTGTCAGTGAGCGAGCTCATAGGATGTGTACATAACGTCTGCCCCTGTGTCTTCATGGAGGACTCTGGTGTTTGAAATAGTGTTATGTGTCTCATCTACAGGCACTTTCATGAACGTGGAATAAACAAAAAAGTTACATATAGCAGCATTTTCAAGAGAAGAAGACATGGATACGGCTCAGTCGCTCCCTTTGGTGCTAGCAGTTCAGCAAATATTCCATAGGCCAAATGTAGTCTTACCACATTATTGTCTTCTGAATGTGTAACTTAGACTGGTTAGGAAAAAACACTAATAAGCACTGTTCATAAAAAAAAATAAAAAAAAAAAAATCTCATTACCTCTTTTTCTAGGCCTGAACATAGTGGGAAAGGACTGTGTGCTTCTTTGATATCCAACACAGGATGAAAAGACTTTCCAGAAATAAAAATAAATAAATAAATTAACCATTCCTCCTCTAATTAGTCATGTCCTGATGTAAAAAGTTAGCCTTGGGAAGGATGTTTGGTGGGCTTGGCGGAAGTGCACCAGACGTGACCAAAGTCTTGTGGGTGCATGGATGGTGTACAGGGGTTCCAAGGAAGCACAGTCTGAGCTGGCACTCTGCAATGTGTGCAGCTGGAGAACAAAGCCTGTAGATACAGCTCTTGTTGGAAGGCAGGTGTACAGATTTGTAGAGGGTTGGTTTGATGGTAAGTGGAAGTAGCAGTGGGTTGCAAGTGGTCCTTCCATGCTGCTCCATCCAGCTCTCACCTTGTGGAACTGCTCTCAAAGGTGCTCTTGGAGGTCTCTTCTTGGTATCCGGGCTCTCTGCTAGGGTAGCTTTTTGGTTCAGGGCTGTAGAGTCATTTTATTTACCTGATGCTTTGCACCCTTAATCCCAAACTCTGGTACATGTAACTGTTTAGGCAACTTCTTCCTACAGAAGCTCTGAAGGGGAAGCAGCCTGGAGTTTGTGATGTTACTCCACCTCTAGTGCCATACAATGCATTGTAGTTTGACACCTTGGCATGGAAGCGAAGTCAGGAGATAGTGAATGCGCACATAAACAATTATATTTAGGAGTTTGAGTTCAGTTTAGCTAATCTGGATAAATCTCTCCTGGTGATTACATGGCTGTGATATGCTGCAATTTAGAGTTAATCAATTTAATATTATTTGGCTTTTACTGAAGACTATAACAGAGCTTTTGTATTGATGTAAAAAGCTGCCAGTAAGTACTTATTGAAAAAATAGCAATTAAAAAAATGAGGCATTTTGAAATGCTTTTTTTGTTTCCTGGGAAGATTTTTTTTGGGCTGTATCATGTTGTGCCTTTGATATGTAACAGGAAGTTGACTCTGTGTCAGAGAGAGGGGGGATTGGTTTGTCATAGGGCCATTTTTAATATTTTCTTGTTATTTTTAAGTCATTTTTATGACTAGTGGTAAAAGGAAGATGTAGAAGTTGTGGTATGAAGCTTGTTTGTCATTTAGGTAACATTTAGCAAAGAGCTTCTGTAAGTGTGAGATGCTGGGGGACACGTCATCTGCTGCTCTGCTCTGGTCCGTTTCAGCCTCTGCTCATGTTGTAATCTGGAGGATTTGGAAATGTGTGGGACTTGGTGGCTTCTGCTGTACTGGACCATGTGATCTGTGCTGAAGAGCAGTATCTTTTTTCTTGAGCATTCCCCAAATCACCAAATGCAGCTTCATTTGAGCTTGTCAAGAGCACCCAACTCCAAGAGCTGATTCTGCCCAGCTCTTAGATAGTTCTTTAGAGCTGGACTCGTGGTGTTCCATGGCTGGTAAAACTCCAGTTAAAAATCAATACCACGTGCATTTAATTTGTAGTAGGTCTTAGTCCCTGAAGCTGGACCTGTCAGCATATAATTGATAACAAATAGGGCAGGGCTCTTTGATCAGCTTAATCAAGGAGGAAGGAGACTGCCCAATAAAACACCCATGGGTTACTCAGCCTGGTTTCCAAAAAGATCAAATCTGGGCAGGTACTCTTCATCCCTGCTGAGTAGCACTATGAATGCATTTTAAAGTGCTCCTTGCATCACTTCTGGAGCTGGAACATGACTGAACAAACTGAGCTGGTCAAATAGCAGAAACTGCTAACTTTATTTTCTTGGATATTTACTTTGTGGTTTCTAGAAGACTAAATCTTCTCCCGGTGCTTTCCTAATCAGTAGGTGACTATTTTGGATACTAGCTGCCTACTAGCAACTTCAAAGCACTGGTTCTTTTTATTGCTAGTGAATCTTTGTGTAAGGACCCCATCTCCAGACAGTGATGTGCTTTTGTGCTGGGGTGGAATGCTGTGGTTCGGCTGATGTTCAAGTAAATGACCTGACTTCTCCAGTCAAATTTGAACTGATTCCTTTCAGTGTTTATTCTGTGTAGACTTAAAAAGTTGAAAGGAAACAATGATGGTATGTGCAACGCTTTTTACGCGGTCATAACCAAAGCTGTAGTTTGAGACTCACCTCTCTCTCTGCTGTTTGCAGACACGCCTCTTGTTGAAGAAGTGGTGTTTTATTGTAGTAACTCCTTTCCTGGAGTTACTTTTGTACACCTCTGAATATCTCTGTAGTGCATACAGCCAAACCTTCCTTGTACCACTGAGGGGTTTATCTTCTCTTCTGCAGTCTGATCCACTGCTGAAGGCTCCCCAACTGGAAGAGGAACTTTATCAACTGCAGAATCTTGAAAAATAAAAAAAATCCCAATTATGTGATAATCAGCTCTCCAACTAAGCAGCTTGCTAGATTTTTGAGAGAATTGTCAGTAAAAGCCTTGTGATGCTTGCTGGATAAAGTATCTAAAACCCATGCAGAATTGATATAATGGGACCAAATTTGACTGGGAATGTTCTCTACTATCTGAGGAGCCAAACTTCTAGTGTGGTTGCTGGATTTGAATGTGTTTTGAGGGTGATATATTCACAGCCATGGAGTTCCTTATTTCTGGCTGAATGTTAATTTTTGTAGTAGTTCTGTAATGAGACCCTTTTGTGACATTTTTAGCACAATGATTATGCCCAAGCAAGAGCCAATACTGGATGGTCAACAGCTGTTTGCTTAATCTAGCAAGCCTGTTAGCAGAGATTAATAGAAGCATCTCTGAAAACTGGATGGCCTAAACTCTGATTTCCAGTGGGAGCCACTGATTCAGTCAGGCTGATCTTGAGTAAACCACCAAACATTCAGTGCTTCAGATCACTGGGTGTGAAGTTGTATTGGTGTGAACTTGCTGTGAAGTTTTGCATTGGGTGTTGACACAGAGTTTGCTGAGACAAGCCATGACTCCCTTCTGTCCATGTTTGCATTCCCCCATGAAAATGTTAGGGGACAAAAAACCCAAATTAAAAAAAAAAAACCCTTCAGGTCAAAGAAATAATATGGAAAAAGTGAAATTATGAGCTCTGTAAAGAAAGGGGATGTTGTGTGCCTCATCCTACCTCGAACCCTGAAGTCTTGATTTGACCTCCAGGTAAGAGTGTGCAGTCAGAGAAGTGTTTGTGCTGAATGCCAAATTGTTCTATGATCATTATTTAATGAAAACCACACATGACAAATTATCAGGCAAGATACTTTGTTCTTTGCTGTAGAACACATGAAACAGCCCCTAAAATCTGTCAGCCTGCTGGTGCTGTTTGTGTTTTTTTGGAGATGGCTGTGTCGGTAACAGTTGGCTCCTGCTAGTCTAGGTTGAGCAGTTAATGGCTATCGAATTCCTTCAGCATCAGTAATGCCAGCAGCAGACTGGGGCTGACACAGGAGACAGTGATTTGAAAAGAGGGAAAGTCAAAGTTAGTGATGCAGAAGCACGGTGGGTGCACACACGTGGGACAAGAGGCTTTCCAGAGCTTTTGCTGACAAGGGATGCAATTAGTTAGAGCCAAATCCACTGAGTTCTGCCTTGTTTGTTATCCCTAAGGACTGCTGTTTGTTCAGCTGCTTTTCCACTTGTCTTCTCTTTTCAGTATGAAGGACTGTCTGTAAATCAGTCTGAAATGTTGAGCTGGCATGATTCCTGCAGTCAGAGACTGAATTCAATTGGAAAATAGGTAAAGTTCTGCAGCTATTGAAACAGGCTGAGCAAACATGTAGGATATGCTGCCCTTTGGGAACCTGGGGTGCCATCGGGGTCAGATATGGCTGGATACACGGTCACAGAAACCCTCTCCTGGCTGTGGGGCAGAAATGAATGCTACAGCCATTTCTGCAATGGAAAGATGACTCTCTGGAGTAGAAAATGCAAGTAAAGAGATGGCTCCATGTGCTCATTTCTCCATCCCATCCTCTTTTAAAATGATATCTATAGATTCAATGAAAGCTCTGGGCTTTCATAAAAGTTTCCTTTGAAATTTAGTCTGAAATTCTACTTCTAGTTTCAAAGCACCAAATATCCTTATGTGATTGGCTCCTACCAACTCTACCAACAAAGTCTTTTTTTGAGTTAATTCAGTTAGAAAAAGGTGTTTCTAGAGGATATTTTGGGAATTCCCAGTGAGCAAGTATGGAAACTCTCCATCCTTTTTAAAATAGCTCTGTACATAAGGGCTCACCAGAAAACCCTCTGGAGCCAAAGGAAATATTCTAATCCATTCTAGTAGTGAAAATCCTGTTAAATCAACATCTTTTCTTCCTCTTTTTATAAATTTTGTCATCCTAACCAGTTTTGGGTTTGACATCACCCTTTTTCCTTGCACCAGTTCTATCCTCTTGTTGCTGTGGGTAATAATTGTTGTAGCTGCTGTTCAAGGATCATCATTTGGAAGGACAGTCTTGTCTTAAGATGATGAATGGTGGGGAAACAATAGCTTGATTTCTTATAAGCACACAGTGCATCCTAAGCAGAGCAGCCTCAACTGGAACCGGTGATGTCTTTGAAATGCAATCATCCACTTGAGCTGTAGCTAAATGTACCATAAATGTTACTGACCTCACATCTGCCTCAACTGAGGATTTGTCTTGGCTGGGAAAGCAGACAGCAGGGTAGTCATGCTGACCATGATGCAGGGCTCCCAAAGCAGCAGCTGCCTTGCTCTGACTTACCCTTCTAATCACCACCTCACTCACCTGACCCAAAGTTGCCTTTGCTGTACTGAACCATATCCAGCTGGGATAGATCACCAGCTGTTGTCACTCACAGACACCATCACAACCTTTCCCCTCATGTGAACGAGCTGTAACTTAAACCAGAAGTAAAAGCTGTGCCATGTGAATTACAGGTGTGTGTTTCTTTCTCAGTGGGAGCCACATATTCAGAAAAAAGCCTCATCTCTAAAGCTTGCTCCTTCAAATACAGTTAATGGGATAACTGGGGAAAGATAACTCAGAGCAGAAAATGAGGTGGCAATGAGTGTAATTCAGGCTGTAAATGTTGTCAGTGAAAAATTAGACTGGTTTTAAGAGCACAGCCAGGATCAACAGCTCAGCTTCTCTGTCTGGATGAACAGGAGCTGGGTT